CTACCTTTGGCTAAATCTTCCCGCATTGGTCACACATCTGCTCATATAAGCGGAAATTTATCGCTGCTTTGAATTCCATTTGTTGCCTGGACTAAGCAACTTTTAGACTGAAAACTACCTTTGGCTAAATCTTCCCGCATTGGTCACACATCTGCTCATATAAGCGGAAATTTATCGCCCAGCTGCTTTGAAGCTTCCAAAAGGCAATTTATAGTGCCATCATGCACCTTGGTTTTCACAAGGACAGTTTGTTACAGTATGTCTAAATTTGTTCTTTTCCTGAAGTAAGTGTATCAGACGCCAAATCCGCTATCCCACATATCTTGTTAGTAATGATGTGCTGTTTCAGATATGAGAACAAGGGATAGGGATAAGCAAAGAAGCTTATGAGTGGATGTACGGTTTTACCTGGGGTGTATCTTGAAAATTCTCATCGCTATCTGATTAAAAGGCTGTCTGGGCGCTGTCTGGGTGCCTTTGTACAGCCTGTAACCAACACGTCAAACAAGAGGGAACGGAGTTTTAAGAATACTTCTCGGCATATCAGAGGGGTAAATCTGAGAATCTCCGCAAGCGCTTACGCCTGTAACTCTGTTTTGGTCGTCCCTCTTGTTCGACTGGGTTGCTGCTTGTTTTGGTAAAATACTTGGAATGGGTGAGTTACTTATACAGTAGAGTGTCTCTCAATACTAGCACTACTTCGGAACAGACTAGTCAGGTAAACCAAAGTTATTTCTGTGTCTCTGTCGACGTTGTCACCTGTAGTATGCATGCTATGGAAGCACCAGGCGACAGTGAGTCTCCGAACGTAGGAGCTAAACAACAATTTGTAGGGATAGAAGATAAAAGGAAAAATCGTGATCCAGATCCCAGTAAGCATGCTTGTACATCACCAATACTCACATAAAAATCAAACTGGCAGAAAGCGTATAGTACATCACCAAGATTGGACGGGTTTAGAGGTTATCTGAGACAACCAGCTGGTAAGATGAAGGGGGAAACGCAGTGGAATTGACAGAGAAAACAGTTGACATTATTTGGGTCCACAGACTCAATCTTGAGAAGAAATCTTAGTCACTAGTAAACTGGACGGCCTTCACCATCGAGTCTCTTACAGTGTATCTGTCCAAAACACAGAGGAGGTTTTCAGGTTTCCAGCCGATGGATACCAAGCAAAACGAATCGGCCAGCTGTTTTGTCAGCGCCTGACAAGCCTGTCGGTCGTGACAACAATGTTCTTGATTCCGCCGAATAGGAAGACTGACATAAGACAAACGGACCATCAGTCACACCTACTTTGCCCACTAAAGTTTGGACGTTGCCCAGCCTAGTTCTGTGGGTTGGCAAACGGCTACTATTGTTGTACGTCAGCATCACATGGAAGCGAGAAATATGAATAGACGAAAAACACCAGCGTCGTTGGCTGTCAGCTAAAATGCCTACCTTACCAATGAAAAAGCGATTGCAACTTGGTCACCAGCACATGTGCCGAAATTGGTAACAGCTTACGTCCTATATCAAGTAAACGTTGTAACCGTGTCATCACGTTCGTCCGAAGAGTAGATCATGACAGCCGCTTATTTCCTAACAGTACAAAGTAAGACTTCCGTCGTAGTTTCCAAAATCAGTTTTCACAGAAAATAAACTTCCTTTTGCGAAATACGCTCATTTGCAAACTAATTTGGTTTTTCGGAAGACTCACCTGGAACCCAGCTGAATCTCTCATTTGTGATGTTTTCAGGCAACTGAATGTGCTGCACCAGGCCGCCTCATGTTTCAGTCGCTACGATATTAGAGATATCGCGATGTATGTATATTTGTAATGCACCACTCATAAGGTTGCTGAAAACTCTTCGACAGCCCACGACCGGTTTTGCCCTTCTTTGGGCTCATCAGGTAGGCGCAGCCCCCGGGTTTCCGTCAAACTTATGTTCTACTTGAAACCAGTTGCCTGGAAACATCACAAAGAGGAGGTTGAGCTGTGTTTCAGGTGAGTCCCGCAAAACCAAATTTGTTTGCAAATGAGTGCATTTCGCTAATTTCGTGCAATTTGCTTTCAAGTAGAACATAAGGTTGACGGAAACTCGGGGAGGGCGCCTTCCTGATGAGCCTCAAGAAGGGTGAAACCGATCGTGGGCTGTCGACGAAACTTCCTTTTGGTTTACCAACTCATATGATCAACACTAGATGTATATAGTCGATGGTGTTTAACCAAACGACTTCAACGAGCAAAATATGTACAGCGGTGGACTGCACGCTAATGCAGGATTTTAAAGCTATAAAATTTGACCAATAGCGCAGGGAATTAGAATGATAGTTTAGGGGCGTCTTAATGCAATTGGATACTTCCAAATGTCATGCCAAATATGAAAAACCCTGTGAATATCTTTGTCATCAATGATTCTAGTAAAGTACAAAACTCAACCGAGTTTCTGGGTTTTAAGAAGGATTTTCAAGCAGTGATCAAGTATGAGGTCTCACAGAAAGCTGGATTAGAGAGAAAAACTAACCAAGCCAAGCCCACTGTTCTACGGTGGGGGCAATCAGAGTGGTTAGTTGGTTGAATCGTACTTTGTGGGCAATCCTGTTTTCATGCTTCGTCCTTATTGGTCAAAGTGAAGTGTGTGATGAGGGTTGTGTAGCAGTCCCTTCAGCCACTTAGCCGACAATGAACTGCAGGATGTGTGCGTAAAAATTACCGAATTTTTTTATAGTCTGCAATAAATTTCCTAATGCGATCACTGCAGACCTATCTGCAGTCAGGGACTAATTCAGGAATATGGTGAGATGAATTCATCACTTCTGCGCGCAAGTTATGTGTTGTGAATAGTTTTCAGTTAAGTTTTCCTACATCGTTCAACTTCCCCCGACGTACAATCATAGTCGGGGGGGGGGGGGTACGGAATCTCAATTTAGAATCCACTGGCACACTTCAACCACAAAAGTAGTCATCTGCAGACGTGATCATGCCACGACACCCTCTTTCTTTGAGGGTGTCTATGGAAGAGTTTCGCGTCCCACGCAGAAGTCACTATTGTAATAATTATCTAATATCTACGAGTCTTCGACGACCTTTTGAGTAGTGTATTACACCTATACATGTAACGCGATATCTACAATAGCGTACTATCATGAACATCATAAACGACAGATTTAGCGGGATTCCAGGTGTCTCCCGTCAAAACCAAACTGGTGTGCAAATGAGTGTATTTATCTAATATCTAGTTATAACGACTCGATAAGGGTGACTGTGCTGGTTTTCAAATCATACTCAGCAAGTGTCATCACTCCGATTTCAAGTTTGCATTATTCCGTATTTATATAACTTTTTTATCAACACACGTATGAATGCTATGTTTCATAGGCGGGAGCTTCTGCTGATTTGAGGTTACAAATATCCACTTACGGGAGCCCACTTTATATTGAAATGGAATTTTCAATATTTTTTTGTTGTTCTGTTGAATAAGACAATGGGCAGGCCATCTTCCCGTGACTGGTTCGGTGCAGTTCGTTTATTTAAACGTACCAATGTTGGGATCACTCAATAGAGTGAATAAAAGGTGTTATTTTGCTCATCGTTAGCATCATCTACCTACCTACCTATTTGAAACTATGCATACTAAGCACAATGGCAATGTAAAAGAGGCCAGATGACCTTTTGCTGTCGTTTAAATATTTCAATGAACTTGTTTTTAGACCGGCGAGTTGTTCGTGTAAACAGTCGCGAGGAATAAATATAAATCGTATCTTAGATTTATCTTTCCACTCAGTAGACTGCGTCTTAAAGAGTCTAACTTTTTACAAAATTCTTGCTGCACATACAGACAATCGGTCCATTCCTCGGTTCCTTTGATTTCCAATGAATAATTTCATCCATGCAGACCAATAATGCGAAATCATAAGAAAGTCACTTGATGCATCTTCTGCTTGGTTATTTCATCTTAACTGTTTTTTTATTTACTAAAAAAATTCAGTGCCTATTTTCATAATTAACCCGTTTATCTGACCTTGAAGAATGTGGCACAGACATGCATCTTCACGTGATATCAGACGTCTAGCTTTTTAGCGGGACGTGCAAGGAATCAATAACGATATTCTATTACTAAACATAAGATATAATATCAGATTGTTGGATACAACTAGAGTTTCCATAATGAAAACACGAAATTGGCAGAGCGTTTGTTCACAGGTGATTCTCTTAGGCACCCACATTCACCGGAACAAAGAGACAAATGTATTCACTCCGATTCAAATGCTGTGCAGAGACATTTTTCGGCTAAAAGTGGGAAAGTATGTAACTCATGGAGTCAGCTACATCATGATTTGGGTGTTATGGATGGGGGACAGGCAACAAAAATACATCCAGTTGATTGTGTATTTTGGCCGGTACTTTTTAGCGGCAGCGCCCATCTGCCATCGTAAAATACGAGCTACTCTCACCTGCACAGTATTCCAGCCTGGTGTTTAATACGTCTGTATAGGTCTGCCAAACTACACGAGCACGAGCTATCAGTTGTTCTGTTCAGTCCAGATTAAATAATCCCTTTCTGCTCTCCACTCCCTGTCCTCTACCCTGTCTTCATCATCAAATTAGGTTTGATATTCTTAGGACTACAAACTTCATACAAGTACACAAAACTCTATTAAACTGCGGAGAACACTACCAAGGGATCGATTTCAACGGAAACAGGTTATGCAGTGTTGCTAGTAATAAGGCCTGTATTGTTGTTGATCCTACCTTTGTCCATTGGGGATTACGGACACCGGTCCACCCACAGAGCGAGAGAACAGGCGTGGTACTAGATGTTTCCAAATACGGAAGTCAATCACCTCCACGTGTTAAATGCGTCTGCCGTGCAAAAACAATTCATTACATAAGCGTTGCTAGGTGGCGGAAATCGCGCCATTTTGATTGGTTGACTGACTCATCGCAAGCGGGTTGGTTAAGGTAAACCACGCACGAATGTTGTCGACAGTTCGAAACACACTGATGGGTACATTGATGGGTAGCGTGCACTGATGCCACTTTCGACTTTGGCATTGCGCTCAGGCTGCAGTGGAGTGTATCAATGCAGCATCCCGAGTCCTTACTTTTCAGTCTCAAAGTGAGTTCAAGTTTCAGTGGTGGATAGTTGGTATTTGATATCCGACAGTAAGTTGCCGGAATTATCGCATTTCACTCCAGTCTTCACTTGGTAATCCACCGGGATTTTGGTTGGTTTTGACGTGTAGAAACTCACAGTGGGTGTGTAGGTTAAACCTGATTGCCTTTAGGTTCGGAAAAGTTTTGCTGCAAAAGGGCTGTCACGTGATTTCAAGGAGATTCGGATGCGATCACCCGGATAGTTGCGGGATTGGTGGGACTAGTATGCACAACACCTGTTCCAAAGTTTTTCTGTCTTGTGGTTTTGGAGAACTATACCAACCAAGCTGTTGTTGTCCACTCTCTGGGTTCAATTCCAGTTATATCTTCCTAAGGCCTGAGAATGAATATAGAAACTAACCAGATTGTTTTGGTGTGAGGCGGGCGAGAGTAGAAAGCACCAGTTCTCTTCGGAATGATCGCATATAGCAATCCCTCCATCAAGATGGGTGGAAAAGTTGGCCTCCCCTATAGATAGTGATTTTGATTTAACAACAGTGTATCAAGTTTTGAGAAACGCTAGAAAGCCGTACATCCAACTGAAGTGTTTCCTGCAGCACTATTTAGTTTTTCTACTAATATAATTGAGATGCACCTAGTAGTGAATTTATCCAAAAGTTATTGCCTTATTTCTTAAATCATTCAACTGGCCAGTCAAAATCTATTTATGATGTGTCCTCGTCTAGATTTTTTAAGAAGCACATCGTATCCCTCCAGCATTGTCAAATTTATCCAAATTTATCCACGATTGCCACAGGCCAGTGACAGAATCTCACAAACTCTTAATTAACACTACTCTGAAAAACGGCACTGCTGTGGCGTATGCTTCCGTCATATGTTGAAATTGTCCTGTTCCAATCTTTACTTGTCTTTCTGGAAACAGAATCTACCGTAAAATTCAACCATACAATGGTAAACGATGAACCAGACTTTTCAGATCACTTCCTTGTATCCTGACTCCATTCACATTTGATACATCTCTCTTTGACTGGCACATGGACGTGCGGTGGTGAACAGCACTTACATAGTGGTTTCCATCAGTTCAATGATAGCTGGAGGTAGAAATTTATGCTAGACGCTGCTCACAGCTCAATCACAATAGTGCTCGACTACCTATTATATCTTTCTAGCTTCTTTATTTCAGGCCGCTATTTCTGCCAGTAAACTGGGTTCAAACTGAGTCGAATGGTTCACAATGGATGTATCAGGACGGACGTTACTCAAGACTACTTTGACTTGGAATACGGGGGTTTCTGTAATGATTCACATTCCTAGCCACTCTCAGGGAGTCAAAGCGTTCAAGAAGGAACAAACTCAGAGTGCTAGAAATGACTCGTGATAAATTTTTCAAGTGTGGTATAACTCATAGCAATCTGGCTAGAGCCCCCCCCCATGGAGAATGGTCTATCTTCAGGGTGTCTTCCTTAGAAAGGGGTCCCCCCGTAGCAGCTAAGGAGAGAGAGACGTCAACATATAAACTTACGGCTTTCCACAAGAAGCACATTGTTCCATTTCTTGGAGCAGTAATTAGAAAGCGTTGAAATTTCCCATTCTCATTTTACGAATTTTTTCCAGGGAGTCTAATTTTCATCAGTTTATACGTAAACAACTAAACTAGTGACCAAGTTTTGAGGGCTCAGTAGCTCAAATTTCAGAGGTACCAGTTGATTTTTATTCACGGACTGATGTTGACGTCTAAACTGCTTTTGTTCGCTAGGTATACACAACCGAAATTTGCTTCTTTTTGCTATTAAACTAGGTGAATAAGTGACACAATAAATAAATGATTGGCAGACGGTTAGCTGTGGTCGAACCAGTGAACTCTTGCTTAAAGTGGCGGAGACTCAGACTGTTTGGCTGAACCGGAAATGGTGCAGCGTGTTAATTCTAGGTACCGATGTAGATCAGGGCGAATAAAGCCGGTATGGGAATGTGCAGAGGCTTGTGCCAAGCCATCATTTGGCCTAAACATGATTGCGTAACCATGGGCACCTACACTGGCTACTTGTCCGGGTGCCGGCGTCATCTGTCAGTTCCCTTAAGTTTCAGTGAACGACTACGTTTCCAAGTGTGGCAGCAGGTAAGTGCAATCAGGAGCTGTGCACTGACACATCATCTAAGGTGGTAATATTTTGTTAAAGCAGCCGTTCATCCTTAGGATGACAATGTTGGGCAGGTAGTTTTTGGAAAGTGGAGCGAACCTGCTTCGTTTCCAGGTAGTCAGTATGTTAACCGGTAGGTGTGCCGGTAACTCATGAGACCAACTTTATTAAGACAGATGTGTCCGCATTTTGTGTAAGTCCACATTGTTGAGGCTGCATTGAGGGGTTTCATCATCATCATCGACAGCATGACATCAGTGTTCAAAACCGATGCTTCACTGCCGTACAACCATGACATATTTGAAAGCCTTATTGTAAAGAAAACAATAAAGGTGGACAGGGGAGCGACTTAGTGCTAGCTTAACACAATCATTCCGTGGTGCCACCACACGGTGCCTCCACACATTCACTCAGGCAATCTGGATAGAAACTGACAACAAGAACGCCACTGACATCGATTGGCAGCCATATCTTGTAGTGTCTCCAACCAGGCACAGTGAGGATCACACGGTCCCCATCCTGGAAGGCGAGTAGCACCGACAGCACCCAAGCGTTTCGTGATCTCCTTCATACTCCTCTGCCAAGTCACGTGTTGGCCACCTCTCTGTTTACGCCACTCTGAGTTGGGCATGGAAAACAGTACTCTCTTCGGCAAACGATGGTTCGGCATACGTAACACATGTCCCAACCAACGCAGCTTCTGGTATTGGACGCATTCTTCAATGGAAGTACCCGTTACACAACCGAAAACACGCATTCTAGATGCCTCGTTACAGATTCGCCGACACCAACCCACACGAGCTATGGTTCTGAGACAACGATTGTCGAACACCTGAAGACGTCTCAGGTCCGCTGCTCGAATAGACCAAGTCTCACAGCCATACAACATAACAGCCCGTACTGTAGCTTGATACACACGTCCCTT